CCCGCCGAGGCGCCCTGGGCCCGGCGCAGAGCTCACCTGGCAGAAGGTGGGCGTGTGCACGGCCGACAGCGCCTGGCGCAGGGCGTCCACGTCGCTGAAGCCGGGGGGCAGGCGGTCCACGCAGAGGCAGCGGGAGTGCAGCAGCGCCGGTGTCAGGTGCCCGGCGTCTGTCCAGTGCACGTAGAGGGTGCGCGAGCCCAGTGGCTTGCCCAGCAGGTCCGACTTGGCGCGCGCGGCCGAGTCCTTCTTCATGTACTCGGCAAAGCCGTAGCCCTTGGAGTGGCCGCTGCACTTGCTGTAGACCAGGAAGCAGCGCTCCAGGCTCCCGAAGGGCCGAACCAGCTCCTCGAACTGCGCCTGCGTGAGGCTGGGGGGCAGGTTGGCCACGCACAGCAGGGCGTCGGTGGGCTGCAGCTGCACCGACAGCTCCCGCTCCCGCAGGCGGCTGTGGTGGAAGGCGGTGATGGCTGCTTCTGCCTGCTCCCCATTCAGCAAGGTCACGAAGGCTGTGGGGGCAGAAGGCGACACAGGGTCAGTCCCCTTACCCCGCGGCCGCCCAGCCCACCACCCCGTCAACCTAGGGGGATCCCCAGAGGCACAGCCCCCAGGTCCAGGCGGGCACGGTCGCCCGAGGCCAGTGGCCAAGCCGAGGGCACTGACGCCCGGACCCTCGGTGGGCTTGGGCCTCGGCTGCTCCTCTGCCTCACGGCCTGTCCGGGCCACCCACGTCCCTCGCCCTCACAGCCCCCCAGCAGGTGCAGCAAGCTTTGTCCCAAAGGGCCATCAGACGACGCCACACTGGCAGCTTCTCCACGCAGGGCCGGGCCTCGTGGCCTCCCTCACCTCCTCTCCATCTCTGCCGGCCGCTTCCTGGACACCAGGCACACTCGGCCTTTGCAGCACTCGCTCCCTGAGCATGGGCCGCTGAGCCCTCCCCCTGCATCTGGGCAACTCCCACCCTCACGCTGCCCAGGAAGCCTGCAGTCCTGCTCAGATCCCAGCCCTCTGCCCCCACGGTGCCAGTCCAAGGCCACTTCACCTCCATGTTTGGAACCGCAGGACTCACACCCTCTTCCCCAGCCTGGCCCAGCCGTGTGGGTCACACGTGTGGCCCTGGCACCCAGCACCTGACAGATCTGTGTGAACAAGTGTCACTCAGCACCTGGATCCCCGGCCCGAGGCACATACAGGGCCCTCCACGGTCGCAGGTTCTGAATCCATGGATTCAACCAACCAGACAGAAGAATCCGTACGGACAGCTGTGTGCTTGGCCTGGTGGTCAAGACACCAAGTTGGGCACGTGTGTCCCCTATCAGAGCACCTGGGTTTGAGTGTGAGCTCCGCTTCCAATCCCAGCTTCCTGCTAATGAAGACCCTGGGAGGCACCAAGTGACAGCTCAAGTAACCAGGTTCCTGGGAGACCGGGCTTGAAATCCCGGCTCCTGGCTTTGGCCTCCGGCCCAGGCCATCGCAAACATTTGGGAAATGAAATGGCAGATGGGAGCTTTCGATCTGCTTCTCAAAAAAAGAATTTCAAGATTTATTTATTTGAAAGAGTTACAGACAAAGAGAGATCTTCTATCCACTGGTTCATTCTCCAACGGCCACAACAACTAGGGCCAGGCCAGGCCAAAGCCAGGAGCATGGAACCCCATCCAGGTCTCCCATGTGCGTACGCAGGCCCAAGCGCTTGGATCCTCTGCTGCTGCTCTCCTGGGTGCATTAGCAGGGAATCGGACTGGAAGAGGAGCAGCCTGGACTCCACCCGGCACCCATTCGGGATGTTGGCAGTGCAGGCAGTGGCGCCGGCCCCATCAAATAAATCTTTTTTTTTTTTTTTTTTTTTTTTGACAGGCAGAGTGGACAGTGAGAGAGACAAAGGTCTTCCTTTACCGTTGGTTCACCCCCCAGTGGCCGCTGCAGCCAGCGTACCGCGCTGATCCGATGGCAGGAGCCAGGTGCTTCTCCTGGTCTCCCATGTGGGTGCAGGGCCCAAGCACTTGGGCCATCCTCCACTGCACTCCTGGGCCACAGCAGAGAGCTGGCCTGGAAGAGGGGCAACCGGGACAAGAACCCGGGGTGCCGGCGCCGCTAGGTGGAGGATTAGCCTAGTGAGCCGCGGCGCCAGCCAAAATAAATCCTCTTAAAAGGTACCATATGCTTACTATCCCCTAAGCAATACACCATACGGACATTCGTATGCAATACTACCATCATCTAGAGATGATGTAAAACATGGAAGACACACACAGATCGCACCGGTTAGGGAGGGGACTTTGAGATCTTTGGGGTGGTGGGTGTGTTTCTGGAACCAACGCCCCTCAGATGCGAGGGCAAATGTACTCAGTACTCAGGAGCCAGCTGACCTGTGGACCCTGCCACCGTCTGGTACACACCTAGTGCGTGCCCGGCGCTCACAGCCTCGCAAGCACGTTCATGTTTGGGGTTCTACGGCCAACACAAGCAGGGGCAGTGACTGTGCGGGTCACGTTCAATTCCCGGGGAAGAAAACCGAGCCTGCAGCCATGGGGAGGAAGCAGGGTCTGAACTCCAGGCCTGCTGTCTCCAGGTCCACTCACTGACCTGGCCCACCAGGCTGGTCTCCAAGGGACACGTGGCCTCAGCTCCTTCCCGTCCAGGGTACAGAGAGCAACCGAAGGCCCTGGAAGGTCTAGCAGCTGGCACGTGCCTGGCGGGCAGAGACACCCACCGATCTGTCCCCAGGCGCACGGAGCTGGGCATTAGGGGCAGGGCAGCCGGGAGCCAGCAATGACAGCCCGCAGCGCCGGGGCTGGGACGAGGACCTGCACACCCCCTCTAGGGAACAGTATGCATGGAGCAGCGATGGCTGAGGCCAGTGGTAGGAGGAAGAGCCCAGGAGGCTGAGGCTGAGGATCAGGTTTGCCATGGAACAGGCGCTGGCTTCATGCAGGTCGGCGAACGGCAAGGGGAAATCCCGGGGGGAGAGAGCCTGGAGGGAGGCGGCCTTCGGGGGGAGATGGAGAGGACACGGACCAGGCGGAAGCCCAGGAACAGCCGGGCACGGGTCGTGCCAGTAGGCCTGGAAGGGACACCCAGCATGCCCCAAGACGGGCACTGGTGACAAGGGACAGCCGACAGCCTGGGGCACCTGCAGCCCTGGCGTGGGCCGTGGTCTTGGCCTGACACCCAGCCTTCCAGCTGCCCCGGCCCGCCCCGCGGCCCCACAAACCTGTCCCTTTGTATTTGTCCACAAAACAGTACTTGAGTTCGTAGTCACTGAGAAGGTCATGCACTTCCTGTAGAGACGGAAGCGGAGAGAGAGCGGTCACCACGGACGGCAGGGGCCAGCGCGCGGCCCCCTGCCAGCTGTCCCCACCCCTGCGCACAGGTGCAAAGCAAAGCTCAGAGTGGTGACTGGCCCCAGAGCTGGCACTTGCGGCCTACCCACGGAGCGACACCTGCCGGTCAGCCGGGCGCGCTCAGACTGTCCAGCTCACGCACTTCACAGGCCCCCAGCATGCGGCCTCCTGCAAGCCAGCGTGGGAGGCGAGGCGCTGGAGCGTGCCCGTGCCACACACACTGCACGCTGTGCACCAGGGCCAGCACGCCCGGCTGAGAGAGAACCCAGGCACCAGCAGCCTCCAGAAACCAGTGCCTGCCTGCCAGCCCCTGCCCCTGGCTGTCCCCCGCATCACTCCTGGGGCGCCCCCTACTCGCTATGTGCCCATCGGTGGGCAGGGCCGGTCAGTGGCAGGTGCACTGGTGGGCAAGGTGGCTGCGAGGCAGGACCGATCCCGGCTGCTGCAGGGCAGGGCGGTGTAGACGCTGTTTTCCTGGGTCCAAAGAGCACCGGGAAGCTGTGCCCCAACCAGGCCCTGAGAGAAGGGCACGCCTGGCAGGACGACCAGCCACGGGCGGCGGCGGGGGTGGGGGGGGCTCCGGACAACGGCGCCTCTACCCACCCCTCCACCCCCCCCGCCCCGATTTCCTACAGGTCTGTGGGATGCGGGTGGGAGACCTCACTCTTCCAAAGTAATCCTGGGTCTCCCGGGGAACCACGACCCGTACAACTTCCGTGTCTCTCTCCAAGATGGAATAAATGCGTGATAGGGCAGGAGCTGGTCTAACCAACCCTGAAACTTCTGGACATGGGGTCCCGCCCCACCCACCTTCCCCGCGGTAGAGGGGGTGGGGGAAAAAAGCACAGTTGAAGCCGGGGACAGCTGGTGTCCCTGTGTCCACACGTCCCGAACACAATTCCAACGAGCCCACAGCTCCCCGCCCCCTTCGAGCACTTGGACTCGCCCAAGCCTGTGGTCGCCCCTAGCAACGCCCTCCCTCGAGCCAAAGTTGGTTTCTCCCTTCATCACGGTCCCCCCCAACATCCCGTTCTTGATCTCTCCCGACCCCGCGTGGATCCCACGGCCCTGCCGACGCCCCCCACGCACGCTGGCGGTGGAGTCTCCCGGTTGCCCCCCCGGCGCACGCGCACGGTGGTATTTCCCGCCACGCTCCCACACCAAACCCCCCCATACCTGGTTGGTCACGTCCCCAGGGAGGCCCCGGATCAGTATCTTGCGGCGGTTACGGAACTGGCGCTCGGTGTGTTCCAGACGTCTCCGGATCTCCTCGGGATCCAGGGGCGGCAACTCTTCTTCGGGTGCCCGGCGCTCCGCGGCATCGCCGACTTCCACCTCGGCCCCAGCCTCCGGGCTCAGCGGGGGCCGGTGAGTAACGGACACGTCGGCCGCCATCTTGGGAAACCCGGCGCCTTCTGGGACCAGCGAGCCGGGGCGGAGCGGCATAGAGCGGCAACGGGGGCGCACCCGCCGATTGGCTGATGGAAGCCCCGCCTCCCTCCCGAGTCCCTCAGCCCATTGGCTAAGGGCCCAACCCGCCCCCTGTGCGTTCAAGCAGCGTCTGGGTTCCACCAGCTCCGCCCCTTTTCCCCCCTCCCTCCCCGCGAGGCCCGTCAGGGCATGCGCAGAGCGGTGTCCGAACGCTGAAGCCACGGACCATGGGGTTTAGAAGCTTTATTGGTACGGAACCCGGGGGTAGACTGCCGAAGGCCCCGCCGACTTCTGCCCGCGGCTCAGGACGGCTGTCCGCCATCCCCTTCCTCGGGCTGCATGGACTGGAGGGGCAGCGAGGGGCCTGGCTGCTTCACCGGGTAGCTTCCGCTCCGTTTCTGCACCCCGAAGATGTACAGGGAGGCCGCTGCAACGGCCACCAGGCCCAGGGTGACCAGCACTCCTAGGACGATGCTGACGGTCGAGGAGTTCATACCTGCGCGGGGAGGCGCCGGGTGAAGACCTGGGCTCGCCCGTCCGGACCCTGCGGGCACCCCCCATCCCACCGGCGGTGGTCACCTTGAACGTCCATCACCACGACCAGGGTGTCCGTGCCCCGCGGGCTGGCCGCCTGGCAGCGATACGTGCCACTGTAGTTTAACTGGACGAGGAACGGGACGCCGACCGGCACCTCGCGCCTGGAGCCCTCTTGCAAACACCTCAGCTGGGGGGCCGGGTTGCCGCGAGCCTCGCAATGCAGGACGTGGGTCGTCCTTTCTCTCCACGCCACGTGCTGGGGACACGTGGCCCGGTCAATCCTGGGGCCGTCTGTGGGGACCGTCGTGGGATCAGACACGCGACACTCGGGGGTGGGGTGGGGGAGGCTGAGGGTTGGAGAGCCCAGTGACCGACTCACACAGGACACGCAGGCGGGCGCTCCTGTTGCGGTGCACAAAGTGGCCGTCCACCTGGAGGGTGGCGCCGCACGAGAAGCTGCGCCCGTCGTCGCGCTCGGTGGCATTTAGCTGCAAGTGGACGGGCTGCCCCGGAGCCGCGGCCCGAACCCCGTCCAGCACGAGCTGGACCCGGGCCCCGGCCGTGCAAGTCACAGTCACGCTGGACCCCTCGGTGGCGATGGGCTCGCTCAGGTTCAGAAATGGCCCTAGGAAGCCTAAGAGGCGGGGCGTGGCCCTAGCGCTTACAGACCATCGCGGCCCAGGGCGGGGTTTCACGCCGCCGCGCCCCCTGCCACAGCCCCCCACCCCCACCCCCCGTCTCCGGGAGGCCGGGCCACGCCTCCCGGCCGTCCAAGCCCTGCCCACCTCGCCGTCCTTATTGGAGCCGCTGAAGCCCCGCCCCTCCGCATGCTCTCCAGTCCCGCCCCGGGCTGCCTTGGCCCCGCCCCTTACTATAGACGGTCACGTTCTTCCGGGCCTCGCGACTCCGGCCGGCCAGGGTCACGCTGCAGACCACCTCGCGCGCTCCCTCGTGGCCTGACCGCTCTGTGACTATGGCCGTCGCGTTGAGCGCGTCCCCGTCCCTCGTGACTTGGGGATTCAGCATCTGGTCTCCCAGCGCCAGCCGGACCTGGGCCGCGGAGGCCGGGAACAGGCCGGACAGGTGGCAGACCACCGGCCACGAAGTTCCCACCTCCAAGAGCGGGAAGACGGCGAGGCTCGGAGGAGTCAGGGGCAGGACTGGGGTGGGGGTGGGGGGAGTGGGCGTCAACAGGAGGCCTCCCACACACCCCCTGCGGACGCTGTGTGTCCAAGACACCCCCCACGCCCTGTCCCCCTGCCGCCTGGCTCGCCACGGCTCGGGCCTCCCTCTTGGGATCCCCCTACCCAGTGGCCCAGGGCGTGGCGTACCAGAACCCCTACTCTCAGGATCCCCACGTCCAGGGCGCCCCCTGTTCTGGCTCAGCTCTGCACCCACCTCCTGCAGCCCCTCCCCTCACCGAACGTTTGCAGCTGCCTGGGGGCCGAGACGTTCTTGAACAACTCCAAGCCCAGGGGCCGCAGGTCCAGCTCCGTGACGCAGGAGAAATTGGCGCCGTGGTCGCTTCTGTCGGCCCGCACCGTGGCGGTGACCTCCACGGGCTCCCCCAGCGCCGGCTGCCGGCTCAGCTCCTCCTCCCCGCGGAGCAGCAGCACCGAGAGCCGGGCCCGGGGCTGCCCGCCCACCACCTGGCAGCGCAGGGTGAGGTCCTCCCCGACGGGCTGCCAGGGGGGCAGGGGCGCCAGCTCCACGCGCTCCGGGAACTCTGGGGGAGGAGGGGAGGGGACGGCCCTGGTCAGCGGGCGAGGAGAGCCCCAGCTCAGAGATTGGGAAGGGGCGGGGCAGCTCCCTCCTGCCCCGTGTGGAGTTCATCAGCGCGGAAGGCGCGGGGTGGGGGGGCAGTCTAGGTGGGTGCTACTGGCTTTGCCAGTGTGGGGGCTCAGAAACCCCGAGCCCAGAGATTGAGGCCGGAGCAGGTGCACAGCGGCCTGAAGTCACCATCAGGGTCCTGTGAGCCGCCCTTGGCCTCCAGCTAACACAGGCTGCCCCCTCCACGGAGCCTTCCTTACCCCGACTCCTGCTGCCCAAGACTGGCGGTGGTGACGCCCCCACAGATTTTGCCCACACCCCGATTCCAGGCCCACGGAGACCTCCTCCCAAAACATCTCAAAACCAAGACATGATCCAAACCCGCAGAGTTACCCCCCCCCTTCTCTAAAGATGTATTGACTTGAAAGGCAGGTGACAGACAGAGAGGTCTTCCATCTGCTGGTTCACTTCCCAAATGGCCACAATGGCCACAGCTGGACAGGCCGAAACCAGGAGCCGGGAAGTCCATCCGGGTCTCCCGCAAGGGTGCAGGGGCCCCATCCTCTGGGGCTTTCCCAGGCGCATCGGCAGGGAGCTGGATGGGAAGTGGAGCAGCCAGGACTTGAACTTGACAGGCTGCGGCTTAACCCGCTGAGCCACGACACAGGAGCCAAGTCCTCTCTTAAAGTGACCCGCACCCCCCATGGCGGGTCCGCCCTACAGAGGAGTCATTTTGGGGTGGGGGTGGGGGCTGACACTCCTGTGAGGTTTCCCCTCCAGCTGTTATATTTCTCCATGTGCTCATTAAATAGAATCTCTCTGCCTTTTCCCCTTTAAATCTTTGTCAGTTCCTTCCAGCGAACCTCCAGAGGGTGGAGGGAGTTTTCCTCACCCTTGCACCCAGCATCGAAATAAAATCCAGGGGCTGGCGCTGTGGCTCAGCGGGATAAAACCCCGGCATCCAATATGGGCGCCGGTTCGAGTCCTGGCTGCTGCACTTCCGATCCAGCTCCCTGCTGATGCGCCTGGGAAGGCAGAAGACGATGGCCACAGTGCTCTGGCCCCTGCCCCTGACTCAGGCGACCCAGATGGAGCTCCTGACTCCTGGCTTCTGCCTGGGCCAGCCCCAGCCATTGTAGCCATTTGAAGAATGAACTGGTAGATGGAAGACCTCTCTCTCTCTTTCCCTCCCTCCCTCCCTCCCTGTAACTCTGCCTTTCAAATGAATAAATAAATCTATAAAAATAATCTTACAAAATCGGCCTCACACCTGCTGCCCTGGTAGACTGCTCTGTCTGTTTGTCTGTCTGTCTGTCTGTCTCCCGTAGCCAAGTCCCAGCCCCAGGGCGGAACCTTGGCCGGTTTCGCACTCGTGTGCGGCACCGCCCGGGGCCAGTCCCACCGCCGGCCGCGTCCACTCACCGTACACGGTGATGTGAGAGGTGCTGGTCATCTGGGAGCCATTGCAGTAGCCGGAGCACAGGACCTGGCTGTCGTCCGACGCCCCACTGAGCAGGAAGGCCACCCAGCCCTGGCCCTGGCCCACCAGCTCCTTGGAGAGCAGGGTCTCCAGCGTGATGAGGTCCGAGTCGGGGCAGTCGGTGCTGCAGTTGACCAGCAGGGACGCTCCGGCACGCAGCACCGGGTCCCGGGGCTCCACCCGCAGCGGGAACTCCTGCCCCTGGACGCCTGGGGGAACACGGGCCCTGCTTGTTATTCCCCCCAACTCACCCATCAGCAGCCCCACCCTGCCCTCGGGGGGCCCCCATCCAGTGGGGGGGGGGCAAAGGATCACTAGGGAGAGGCGAGGGGAGCTCTGATTCCAAGTATAGGAGAAAGTGAATCGCGGAAGGCTTCCTGGAGGAAGGGGTGGGGTTTTAAAGATCAAGTAGGAATCAGCCACGGGAAAGAGTGATCCTGGCAGAAGGAACAGAGGCAATGTTGGGGATCTAGACGGTGCTCAGGGGAGGCTCTGATTAAGCTTCTAGGAGGCGGTGAGTCAGGGAAGGCTTCCAGGAGGAGGGGGCAACAACAGCCAGCTTAGAAGTCTCTGTGGGAATTGGACAAGTGAAAAAGAAGGGTGATTCTGGGGCGCCAGCGTTGTGGAATAGCAGGTAAAGCCGCCTCCCGCGATGCCCCGGCATCCCATACGGGCGCTGGTTCGAGTTCAGGCCATTCCACTTCCGATCCAGCTCCCTTCTAGTGTATGGGAGACCCGGATGGAGCTCCAGACTCCTGGCTTTGGCCTGGCCCAGTCCTGGCTGTTGCAGGTGTTTGGGGAGTGAACCAGTGGATGGAAGATTGATCTGTCTGTCTCTCCCTCTCAAACAAACAAATCTTAAAAAAAAAAAAAAAAAAAGCTGTGTCAAGGAGCCAAGACGTTCTCGCGAGGACTCTGGGGAGCCCCTGTCGGCTTTGAGAAGCTGGGTGCGCTGGGGCCAGGGCGGCAAGCAGGCAGGATGTGGGGGATCTTGGCATCCTCTGGTCCACGCAACCCCTACCCCACCCAAGCCTCCGCCAGCTTGACCGAAACCCGCCTCACCTGGGGGCAGCAGGCAGCCACACAGTAGCAGAATCCAGCAGGCCCCGGAGGGCGCCATGGGGGCCAGGCTGAGGGAGGGGTGCGCGCTCAGGATGTGCCCGCCACACGGAGGAAGGGGGCGGAAGCCAGCGGTTAGGATTGCAGAAGCCCCGGTGTTGCACCTGACCCAGGCTTGGTGGGGTGGGGGTGGGGACTGGAGGGGGCGGGTCTAAAGTGGCTGACCCCCCCACACCCCTGCTGTGGGACCCAGCAAGGCGGGCTGGGGGTGCACTGGGCGGTCTCCAACAAGGGCGGGGCAGGGCTCCCCTGAAGGAGCCCACAGAAAATTCGAGCAGCCACTTCCTGTGCGCTCACCACTGGGAAGCCCTGGGGGAGTGGCGGGGGGGTGGGGAGGAAGAGGTGCCGTCTTCCGGGTCAATGCAGGTGCAGGGCCAGCCTCCTTTCCCCCAGAGATGAAGGCGGGAGGCTTCAAGGTGCGCCTTCAAAGCAACTTTATTTATTTTGTTTGAAAGGCAGAGAGAGACAGACACACAGAGACGGAGAGATCTGCTTCTATCTGCTGGCTCACTCCCCAGGGGCCCTCCCAGGGCTGGACCAGGCTGAAGCCAGGAGGCTGGAACTCCGTCTGGGTCTCCCACGTGGGCGATCCAGCCTCCGATGGCCTGCGTCAGCGGGAGGCTGGGTCGTAAGTGGAGCTGAGCGTCCCGGGCACTTGGGACGGGAGCCGGGCACCCCAAGCAGCGTCCTCACCGCTGTGCCAAGCCCTCAACGCCAGTGCCCCCGCCCCGTGCACTTGAAGGTGCTTCCCATGACCTGATTGTAGTAAAGACACGAGGTGGGCTGCTGGTGGGCAGGGAGTCATAGCAGATACATTTAATAAAACCAGGATAGCGACAGGGAGGGTGAGCACCCTGGCTCAGGGGGTTAAGTTGCCCCTTGGTGTGCCCACATCCCACATCCGAGTGCCAGTCACTAGTCCTGGCTACACCAGGTTCCTGCCACCCATGTGGGAGACCCGGATGAAGCTCCTGGATCCTGGCTTCAGCCTGGCCCAGCCATGCCAGTATTTGGGGAGTGAGCCAGCTGATGGAAGCTCTGTCTGTGGTTATGCCACCTCCTGAGGTGCCAGCATCCCTAATGAGTCCCAGCTGCTCCACTTCCGATCCAGCTCCCTGCTGATGCGCCTGGGAAAGCAGTGGCGGATGGCTCAAGTCCTTGGGCCCCTGCACCCACGTGGGAGACCCGGATGGAGCTCCTGGCTTCGCCCATGGCCGTTGTAGCCACCTGGGGAGTGAATCAGCAAATGGACGATCTCTCTCTCTCTGTAACTCTGCCTTTCAAATAAGTAAAATAAACCCTTTTATTCTAAAGAAAAAGGCGAACACCAGCATACCAATAATATCAAATGTTTACTAAGCACTTGGCAGCGGCGGTGCGTCCGCCCGCTAGGCACTTTGTACACAACGCCTCACGAGCGCCTCCAAGAGGTAGCAACCAGAACTGAGGCCAGAGCGGCTAAGCCGTGGTCTGCGGCCGCACAGGACCAGAGGGGGGCAACCGGCAGAGTCCAGTCTACCCGGCCCACTGGAAACTGCACCCGCAGCAAGCAGTTAGCGAGCACCCTCGGTGTACCCGGCACGGGTCCAGGGCTGAGCCAAGTTTTACTGGGCGTTTCCAGCGCGGGCCCCAGGCCCCAGGCGCGCAGACCCCGGCCGACCCGCTTTGCTGGGCAGCCAGGGCCGCGGGTCCGGCCAGGCGCGGGCCGTGGAAGGCCGAAGCGGGGGTCAGGCACGGAGGGAGAGCGGGGCGCGGGCGGCATCAGCACACGCTGAACACCGAGGGCGCCTGGCCCCGGTACTGCTCGTGCAGGGCCTTGAGGACGGGGACGAGGTTCTGGAAGCTGGGGCGGAACGAGGCCTCCGCCTCCCAGCAGTTCTTCATGAGAAGGTAGATCTGCGGAAGGAGCACGGGGCTGAGGCCGCGCCGCGGGCCGGGGGCGGCGGGGAGGGCGCGGCGGGGCAGCCGGCTGCGCGTCTCACCTCGCCGGGGCACCTGTCCGGCCGCGGCAGCCTCTCCCCGCGGTCCAGCAGCTCCGTCAGCCTCAGCACCGCCATCTGGCCCTGGGTGAGGCCGATGAGCTCAAGGAATTTCTAGGGGGCAACCGAGACAGGACACCGGGGCGGTGAGCCCCGCGCCCGGTTCTCACCGCTCTGCGCTTGCGCAGCTGTGCGGCTTTGGACCTAGCATCCTCCGGACCCCGGGAGTTCACGGTCTCCATCAGGGCTTTGCTGTCATTAGCCAGCAGGCAAGTCACTCCGACGTTCGACGAAGCTAACTGGCTCACACCCTTGGTTCCTCCCCCCAGCCCAAGCCAATCACAGTGGCTACGGCGTGGCCACGTGACCCGAGCTGGGCCAATCGGAGGAAGCTCTGAGAATTTTGAAGGCACAGCAGGCTCTCTTTCCTCAGCGCGTGCCTCCCTGGGCCGGGGGCGCGGTCCCCACGACAGAGGGGGGTCCTGCCCACGAGATGCCCCCACAGACACCAGTGGAGGCAGGCCACGCGGAGAGAGGGCTCGGATTAAGCCCTGTCAATCAAGCCCCCACGCCCCGCCCTGGGAGGGGCCCCGCGGCTCGGGGCGGGGCTCCGGGCTGGCGCTCACCGAGGGGGGGCTCTGGCTGGCGTCACAGTGCGTCAGCAGTTCATAGAGCGTGACGCCGAAGGACCAGACGTCGGACGCGTAGTAAAACTTGGAGTCCTTGAGGCACTCGGGGGCGTACCTGGAGGCAAGGGGTCCTCACAACACCGGGCACGGCCCAGCGCGGGCGCTGACCCTGCCCTCAGGAGCGCGGCCCGCCAGGGGCGAGCTCCGATTGGCCTAGCCGTGATGGTCCCGCCCACCGTGCTGCGCTCTAGCCCCGCCCATCACGCAACGCTCTAGTCCCGCCCCTCGCACGGTAAGGCCCCACCCACCACGCTGCGCCGCAAACCCGCCCCTCGCGTAGTGAAGCCCCGCCCACCACGCTGTGCTCTGGCCCGCCCCTCACATCCCTAGGCCACGCCCCCGCGCCGCTCTCTAGCCCTCGCCCACCACCCCCCGAGCACTGACCTTGTACCGAAGGCCTAGCGTCCACGCACCTCCTCCGCCCAGCCCGCAGGGCCGCCCAGTTCACCCACCTCCTCCTGACCCTGCCCCGCCCTCGCGCGCGCCCCAGCCTGGTCACCAGAACACGGGGCTGTCCCCATCCTCCCGCACGCAGTAGTACTCGCGGCCCTCGGGCACGGCCTTGGCAAGGCCAAAGTCGCCGATCTTGACCAGCCTGTCGTGGTCCAGGAGCACGTTGCGTGCAGCCAGGTCCCGGTGGATGTAGTGCTGCCCGTGCAGGTAGGCCATGCCCTGGGGGCGGGGCAGGGGCCGGCCCCGGGTGTGATCAGTGCCGGGGAGGGAATGGACACGGCGGAGGGGCGGGGCAGGGGTCAGTGGCGGGGGCGGGAGCCCGGGGAGTGGTCAGTGCCGGGACACGAGGAGGGGCGGGACCACGAGGAGTGGTCAGTGCTGGGGAGGACATGAACTCGGCGGAGGGGCGGGGCGGGGGTCAGCGGGCGGGGGCGGGGCCCCGGGGTGTGGTCAGTGCCGGGGCACAGCAGAGGGGCGGGGCTGGCCCACCTCGCAGATCTGCTGGGCGAAGAGCAGCAGCTGGGCCAGCCCGACGCTGTGCCGGGGCAGGTAGTCCCGAAGGCTGCCCAGGGGCACGTACTCCATGACGAGCTGCACCGACTTCTCACCTGCAGAGGGGCGGGATGCACTGAGTGGGGGCAGAAGCGGGGCAGGGCCTCCCCCCCACCCCGAGCCCCCAGTGCAGAACAGGGGCTCTCGTGGGACAGCGCCAGTCTTTACCCGATGACCCACACTGGAGAGCTGGGGCGGCTCTCACCCATCCTGGTCCCGGCAGACAGCGCCTCCTGGCGCCTATGATCCGCTTCTACCCCGCGGCTGAGGCTCCAATTGGCTAGCCCCGGCCGGTCCCGCCCATTCGAGACCCCGCCCCTCACACCAGCCCCGCCCCTCACGTTCTTAAAGGCCCCTTGCTCCGGCCCCGCCTCCCAGTCCCGCCCCTCGCGCTCCTAAAGGTCCCTTGTTCCGGCCCCACCCCCAACTCTGCCTGCGCTTAAGGTCCCACTCTGGCTCCGCCCCTCACTCCAGCCCCGCCCCCAAACCCACCTCTCGCTCTCCTAAAGGTCCCTTGCTCCGGTCCCGCCCCAACCCCTTCCCTCACTCCAGCCCCGCCCCACGTTCCAGCCCCGAACCATAGCCACTCTTTAACTCCTTGGATTTTGCTCTGGCCCCACCTCCTAACCCCGCCCCTCACGCTCCTACAGGCCCCTTGCTCTGGCCCCACCTCCTAACCCCGCCCCTCACGCTCCTACAGGCCCCTTGCTCTGGCCCCACCTCCTAACTCCGCCCCTCACGCTCCTACAGGCCCCACGCTCTGGCCCCGCCCCAGCCCCGCCCCCGCGGTAGCTCCGCCCACCTTGGTCCTCGCAGCAGCCCTTGTACTTGACGATGTGCTCGTGGTAGAGCGTGCGCAGGATGTCAATCTCCCGCCTCCAGCCCGAGCGCAGCTGAGGGCCGCAGCCGGCCTTGAGGGCCTTCACGGCCACCATCTCGCCGGTGCCGTCGTTGTTCGGGTCGTAGCAGTACAAGCTGACCTTGCCGAAGTGACCCTGGCCACAGCAGTAGCGCAGGACAATCAGCCCCACCCCGCTTCCCGGGGGGCTCCCAGGCCACGTTTCCACGCCCCCAGCTCGGTGTTGGAGGGGCTCCCTGAGGCCTGGGCACCTTGGCAGGGCCCCAGGGTCTTCCTCCGAGCTGAGGCTCCTCCCGCCCAGTCGCCCCAGCACTCCCCACCCGATGGGTTTTCCTGCAGCTGGAGCCGCCCTCACCTCGCCCAGATCCCGGATCTTTTTCAAGTAGCGCTTGTGGAAAACCGTGGGGTCAGACGCTGGCGAGTCTGGGCTCACAGCCACCACGTCCACCAGATCTGCAAGGGCCACGGTGGGTGAGGCGCACCCCCGACCCGGCGCTGTTCCCCAGCAGGCCCAATCCCAGAGGTAAAAGGGTGGGTGGGGATTGCGTTTTGGCCACAGCTGGAGGACCTCCCCGCCCTGTCCAAAATGCAGCAGAGTCGCCTGCAGCACGGCGGGCACGCGACAGAGGGCGTCAGGAGAACCAGCCCCGGGCCCGTGCACAGAGACCGGCGTGCGCAGCACTGGCGTGGCGCCCTCCCCCTGCGGCGGCGGGGCTCACCCTGGGGCTGCAGCCGGGTGAGGTCGCGCAGGACGGTGCGGAAGGAGGGGCGCTGGGCTGGCTCGTAGTTGAGGCACTGGCTGGTGAGCATGGCCAGCTCGGGGCACGAGGGCTCGGGCAGCCTGTGCTGCCTCTGGTAGAAGCGCTCTTTCTGCGGGGGCCGGGGCACCGGGCGAGAGTCAGCACCTCCCTCCCACCTCCCACTCCCCTCCTCCAGGCAAGGCCATACCCTCCCGGGGTAGCTACACCAGGACCCAGAGCCACGCACAGCTGAGCCTGCTGACCTGGCCAAGCTCCCACTCAGAGCTTCCTGCCCCCGCCACCCCAACAACTGTGATAGATAAAGCCTCCCCCGGGAAGCCCGATGAAGGAATGAGCCCCCTTGGACG